GCGTACATCTCCAGCTGCATCTGCTACCACATCCCCTCAAGCAATAATCTAAACCTCTATATGCTTTCTTACAAATCAGCACGAGGCCGGCACAGTGGCCCACACCTGTAATCCCAGCACTTTGGGAGGCCCAGGCAAGAGGATCACTTGAAGCCAGGAGTTCAAGACCAGTCTAGGCAACAAAGTGAGACTCTGCCTTTACAAAAAAAAAAAAAAAATTTTTTTTTTTTTTGAGACAGAGGTTCAAGTGCTGGGATTACAGGCATGAGCCACTGCACCCAGCCTAAAAAAAATTTTTTTTAAATTAGCTACGTGCAGTGTCATGCACATGTAGTCCCCTCTACTTAGGAGGCTGAGGCAAGCGGATCACTGAGCCCAGGAATTAGAGGCTGCAGTGAGTTATGATCAGAACTACTGCACTCCAGCAACAGAGTGAGACCCTGTCTCATTCATTAATTAATTAACACCAAATCAGTATCTTTCCACATGCTGCTTCCTCAGCTTCAAGTGCCCTCCCTCCCTCCTTTCTTTCTGGCTAAGCTCTACTCATGGTTTAAGACTCAGCTCAAGTATCACCACCTACCTAAAAGCCTTCATTGACTGCCTCCTCTTTCTACCCTGACTATAACCATACAAGCTCTGCTTTATTTTTTTGAGACAGAGTCTCACTCTGTCACCCAGGCAGCGGTGTGATCTCAGCTCACTGCAACCTCTGACTCCCTAGTTCAAGGGATTCTCCTGCCTCAGCCTCTCAAGTAGCTGGGATTACAGGCAAATGCCACCACGCACAGCTAATTTTTGTATTTTTAGTAGAGATGGGGTTTCACCACGTTGGCCAGGATGGTCTCGATCTCCTGACCTTGTGATCTGCACGTCTTGGCCTCCCAAAGTGCTGGGTGCAATCTCTGCCTCTAGGGTTCAAGTGATTCACCTGCCTCAGCCTCCCAAGCAGCTGGGATTACTGGCTCCCAACCACCACACTCAGCTAATTTTTGTATTTTCAGTAGAGATGGGAGTAGAGATGGGGTTTCGCCGTGTTGGCCAGGCTGGTCTCAAACTTCTGATGTCCACTGATCCGCCCGCCTCGGCCTCCCAGAGTGCTGGGATTACAGGTGAGACACCACGCCCGGCCAAGCTCTGCTTTTATCTACTTCATTTATTGGGCTTCCACACAGAACTTCATCTAAAAGGCGGTTCATACATATTCTTAAAACAAAATGTCTAAAAACTACAGGTTATGAAAACAAACAGAAGTGGGTAAACCTGAACTCTAGTTCTAGTTCTGAAACAAATTAGATAGGCAAGTCACTTTTCCTCTTCAGGGTACAATTTCTCAACTGTTAAACACTTAACATATACACATAAACACACATACACACCTATGCATGCACGCATACACACACCTGTGGCCTACTCTTCTCTGAAGTTACTTTTACTTCCAAATTCTACAAAAATAGAATGCATACAGGTTCCTTTGGTTCCTTTTTTTTTGAGACGGAGTCTCGCTCTGTCGCCCACGCTGGAAAGCAGTGGCATGATATCCGCTCACTGCAAGCTCTGCCTCCCAGGTTCACGCCGTTCTCCTGCCTGAGCCTTCCAAGTAGCTGGGACTACAGGAGCCTGCCACCATGCCCGGCTAATTTTTTGTATTTTTTAGTAGAGACGGGGTTTCACCGTGTTAGCCACGACAGTCTCAATCTCCTGACCTTGTGATCCGCCCGCCTCGGCCTCCCAAAGTGCTGGGATTACAGGCATGAACCACTGCGCCCAGCAACCCCCCCGCCTTTTTTTTTTTGAGACGAAGTCTCGCTCTGTCACCCAGGCCAGAGTGTGGCGTGATCTCAGCTCACTGCAACCTCCACCTCCTGGGTTCAAGCAATTCTCCTGCTTCAGCCTCCTGAGTGGCTGGGATTACATGCGCCTGCCACCACAACTGGCTAATTTTTGTATTTTTAGCAGAAACATGACTTCACCACGTTGGCCAGGCTGGTTGCGAACTCCTGACCTCAAGCAATTCGCCTATCTCAGCCTCCCAAAGTGTTGGGATTACAGGTGTGAGCCACCGCGCCTGGCCTCAGGTTCCCTCTTTCTCATGTGAAACCAGGTATCACAATCCAGGTATGGTTAAAGTAGCTTCCTGTTTGGTTCAAAAACCACACTGCTTTTTTTCCTATTATTGAATCTTTCGGTCTTCGAACCAACACATTTCAAAACTCCTTTCCTTCTTGATAAGGTGTTGGACTTGATGGACTTGGCTTTAAAATGAACTGATTTTGAATAGAAAAGATGATGAAGTGGTATCAAGAGACAACCACTAAGAATCCTCAGGCCGAGTGCGGGGGCTCACACCTGCAAACCCAGCACTTTGGGAGGCCGAGGCGGGAGGATCACGAGGTCATGAGTTCAAGACCAGCCTGGCCAACATGGTAAAATTCCATCTCTACTAAAAATACAAAAATTAGCCGGGTGTGGTGGCGCATGCCTGTAATCCCAGCTACTTAGGAGGTGAGGCAGGAGAATCTCTTGAACCCAGGAGGTGGAGCCACTGCACTCCAGCCTAGGCAACAGAGCGAGACTGTCTCAAAAAAAAAAAAAAAAAGATTCCTCACTACCTTTTTCTCAAAAATGCCAAAGAAACAACAAACTAACTTTCATACAGCAAATAGTTTTAGGGGAAAACACTAGCTCCTACTCCAATGCCACCTGTCCAAATCTCCATTTAGAGTGAACCAGGACAAGGAAAGCAGACATGCCATTATGGTCCTAAGAGGACATCTCAGGAATCAGAACCAGCTGAAGAAGATGGACTTGTTTATTCTCCACCTTCCTATACCACATGTCATTGATTATACACTATGTCTTGTACAAAGAAGCCCTATGTATCCTTTAATGCTAGGAATAACAATCTGGAATGTTAAAAACAGAATGAAAGAATAGGAATGCTACAGGTAGGAAAATCTAGAAATTTTAACCAAAGGGGTTAAAAAATAATAATAATATGTGAGGACCATCAACCTATTTACTCAAAGGTTTTGAGATAGCCTGATGGAAGGACTACCTACCTGATGAAACGTGGGAGGTGGAGGAGGGCCAGGTGGGGGTGGCGGGGGAGGAGGAATTGGCATTCTTGCCCTGCTCCCAGTTGGCACTGTTCTCTCTCCGTCTTTATTTGTAGCTTTAGGTCATTCATATACCTGCAAATGAAACAAATTCATAACAACAGCTTTACCATTAGATACAAGTGCCCAGGAGAACAAGAGAACTGGGCATGACAACTGAAAGAGACTGCACACCTCATCTTCTAGTTCCACTGTGATACAGTCCAGAGCCTGGCAAATCTGTTTAAATCAATTGTTTTAATTTGCAGTTTCCTAATGACTTATGATACTGAACATCTTTTCATATGCTTTTCATATGCTTACTTGTCATCTGTTTTTCTTCTCTGGTAAGGTGTCCAGGACTTCTGTCCTTTTTTTTTTTTTTT